ATATCTTGAATCATCCTTTCCAATTTCAACTCCTTATTTGAAAAATACGAATTAAAATTTCAAAGATAACCCATAATCATTTCTTACAAGATTTGAATGAATTGAGAATTAATTATTCAGAAAATTCGGAGAGTAGGGTTAATAGACAGATTATAGAAATATCTTTAGTAAATATGACACTAAAGAAAATGAAAATATTTGATAAATCGATCTTTTTATAGTTAATAATTATTCTCGATTCCCCTAGAAATTATAGATTTTAGGATTTATTCAGAAAGACTTAATTCTTGATCCTAAGCCCCAAAGTCCGAAATCCCAAACAAGGCTTCGTATAGTCGGGTCATGATTTCGGTTGTTTGGCTCCTACTACCACCTCCCAGCGTGAGGCGCTAACCCACTTTGATGGATCGTAAAGTGGTAGAGTGGTTGAGGGGAGGGGTGTCGGGGTGTCGGGGTCGGAGAGGGGGGCGAGGGGGGCGGGGGGGCAATGATATCTTGAAGGGGATACTATTGAGTACCTGTCAGAGTTTGAGGCGTCAACTTGAGCTGGATGCCATTGGAAAGGCCGGCCAAGCTACTCACGTTGTAAACCGCCAAGATTGACAAAGAGACAGACATAGGCTGCGGATGACGCCACACAACGGGTCTCACAGACGCAGATTTGCCTGCGGCTGTCTGCAGTGAAACTGAATTCCTTTCGAGCATGCTTTACACCCGCCAGCACCGACCCCAAGCCCATCCAGCCACTGAGAGCGCAAGGAAATTCCACAGCCCTATCCACTCCATGCCACGGGCAGTGGCAACTTCTGCAAGAATTGACCCCAGGACAAACAAGGAACCAGTCAGGAGACTCACGGCGAATACCTCCAGGATGAAGGGATGGCATCTGCGTTTCCTTACCCAAAGCCCGTACTTCGTGGCGAAGGTGGCAAGAACTGCGATGGCTGGAAACCAGAGAAGGTTCAGGGCTATGATATAGCCCATGAAGCAGGCCAAAAGACTTGTTGCAGGTGCCCCCGCTATCCACAAACCTAACAGGACTTCGCAAGTAAGGGACACAACCGGCAGCAATGAGAGCCAGATATATTGGGCTGGCATAATGCCGTTTGCATGCATGAGGTTAATGACCTCAAAGCGGAAGACATCCCTGATGTGTGCGGAAAACTCGTCCAGGCTGCCGTACCACTCAGCGATGGCTGCGTGGATACATTCTCTGTCGAAATCGTTGCTACATTCTACATTCTTGACGTTGAAGCTGGCAAGGTCCGATGTTAATTGCATGTCTTCCTGGTGCTTCTTCCGGGCTGTATACGCAAGGGCCGGGAATAGGAATAGGAAAGTACTGCTGGAGACCCCCAGAAGCCTCATGCTGCGGCTTACTCGATCCTCGGAATCTGCCCAACTGGCCAAAATTCCGACAGAAGCCAACCTTGGTAGTCCAGTAACCATATTCTCATAGGGGCACCCTCTTTTGGGTTGGTTTCTTGTTAATTAAGGGAACCCACAACCAAAACAAAAGGGTAAAGGGCACCACTGGGCTACCAAGCAACTGCACCCAGAAGAACATCATGTAAACTGCAATGTCGGTGGCGATGGGCTTGATGACGATCTTGCCTGCTGGATTCAGCTTGCGATATGCCGCCAGCTCGAACACACACCTTGGTTGCCCAGCAACCATATCACAAAAAGGGTACCCTTTGCTGGGTTGGTTACTTTACAAAGCGAACCTTGAACCAAAAAAAGTGAAAAGGGTACCGCTGGGCTACAAAGACACCAAAGTCTAGTCAGGTACGGCGGGCTCCAAAGCACCCGCAACTCCCGAGAAGCCGCAAGGAAAGCTCCGATTGACCTGATCCCTTGCTGCATCATCCTCTTGTCTGACTGGTGAATGCACAGGTAATCAAGAAAGCACGTATCTGTCCTGTGGCAGCTGACGTGTGGGTAAAGTAGCAGGCCTACCAAGGCTCCAATGAAGCCACCCATCATCGACCAGCAATGGAGAGGAATCGAACCTTCAAAGCCGGTCACATCGGCGTGGAAGCTGGTGATAGCTGGTAGTTGACCCAAGAGGCACAGCACAAGGGCAAGGGTTGCACCCATCGCCCAGGACACAAACATGGCACGCCAACCAAACTGGAGCAGCAGCGCCAGCATCTTATACCCTCCGGACGTCAGCCAGGTATGCGACACAAACATGTCGTAGCTTTGCGTGGGCGCAGACGAAGCGAAGAGCTTTGCCTTCTTGGCCTCGCTTGCAACCGTCGGCTTTGCAAACCAAATCGCCCCTCCCCATCGCAAGGTCTTGCGCAAGGACACGCCCCGCATGAGCTGTGGCGAGCCGATGGTGCGTTCCGTCAGGTCTTGCACTCCCACGGAATCGCCGTCGTCGTCCTCGTCCTCATCCTTGGAGACCCAATGAACTCCAAAATCGGGGGTCATATACCCTAAACGACTACAACTCCTATTGAGGTATTTGAACCCTAAACCCCCTAAACCCTATCCCTAAACCCTAAACCCTAAACCCTAAGCCCTAAGCCCTAAACCCTAAACCCTAAACCCTAAACCCTAAACCCTATCCCTAAACCCTAAACCCTCAACCCTAGACCCTAAACCCGAAATGAGGGTTCATTTGGGCCATCAGCATCGTCCTGGCTCGAGCCTCTTCAATCCAGTATAGTAAGGAGGATATGTACAAACCTTCGGGTATGATCCTCCTAGCCCCAGTGAGGGACTGATATATATATATATATGTATATATATATATACACATGTATAGATATGTACATATATACATATGTACATATATACATATATACATCTATACATATATACATATATACATCTATACATCTATACATCTATACATCTATACATCTATACATAAATACATATATACATATATACATATATACATATATACATATATACAAATATACATATATACAAATATACATATATACAAATATACATATATACATATATATACATATATACATATATACATATATACATATATGTATATACATATATGTAAATATAAAATATCCCAAAGGACTACCCTAGACCCTGAACCCTAAACCCTAAACCCTAAACACTACCCAGGCTCCAGATCTGCCCGGAGAGGCGAAGCGGGATTGATTGTCTTACGACCTTGGTCGCCAGTTTAGGGTTTAGGGTTTAAGGTTTAGGGTTTAGGCTTTAGGCTTTAGGGTTGAGGGCAGTAGCCATATGGGTTCTTTTCGATCACAGGGGTACCTTTTTGGCGTCCTTTTAAAAGGGGATCCTACTATTTGGAGGTCTTTTTTCGGGGACCCTTGTTATCGTGACCTCCCACTTCCAAGAAAGGCACCCGTGTTTTTGTTTTTTTTGGGGGGGGGGGGGTGGTTACGTTCATGAGGGAACCTTGAACCCAAAAGAAGGGAAAACAAAGGGCACCACCGGGCTGGCAAGTGGCCGGATGGGTGCAATGGGGAGCCCTCCTCTTCAGAATCCGCGTCTCCTTTAGGCTGGTCAGTCTCATAGCTGCCGCTAAGGAGAACCATGGCGGCTTTCAACCACTTCCCGAGCTTCTGAAGGATCCCGAATTCAGAAAGTAGAACCTTGTCTCGGTTTGCCATTGGCTTCTTTCCTTGCAATACGAATCCTGTCAAGGTTTGGAGTTTCAACAGGTTTTATGACTTGGCATCTATACGCCCTATATGCTCTGTCCGCCCTCTACGCCCTAAATGCTACGGATCGGTCTTTCGCATCTTGCGGTGCGGGGGGGCCCTGAATCCTAACTAAACCCTCTGTGGACCCACGCGTTGCGGTTCACGTTTCGAGGTGTAGGGCTTGGTGTTTGCCGAGCGGACCATGTTCACCCGCTTCTCTCAACCTCAAACCCTAAACCCCAAACCCTAAACCCCAAACCCTAAACCCTAAACCCGACACCCTAAACCCTAAACCCTAAGCCCTAAACCCTAAACCCTAAACCCCTTAATTTGTAAGGTGTAGGGTTTAGGTCATTGGGTCATGACACATGATGCAGTCCTGTTCCGAAATCGGCAATCAAGCAGCTCCCTCTTATAGTCCGTGCACTCTGACTAGACCCTTCTGTGCCACGGGGGTTTCCGAAATTAGGGGTAGCTTGGGTACCCTTATTAGGGGTCCTTATGAGAAGGGGGATTCTACTAGTTGGGGAGCTCTATTCGGGGTCCCCTATTTTCGTAAACCCCATATTCCAAATTGAGCATTCCTAGCAGTCCCGAACCTAACCGGAATCCAACGAAAACGACCATTGTTGTGCGAGAAGTGTTAGACATGGCGTTTTTGTTCTCTCAATCTCACGGCGACGGGTGGCTGCCGGCCATTTCTACAATCAGAGATGTGCAGGCAATACAGAGGCCTAAAAGAAAATAAGGGGTATGGTACAATCCTTCCCTATGTTCTCAATTTTCTTCGTCAAGGGGTATGGAGTTGGGGTACGTGGAAATATACTTAGACATGTGGCGACTCAAAGGTCATATAAGCATATGAAGTAGGGCATATATTTCTTGTACCCCCAAAGGGACACCCGGTATATACACTCACCAATATGAAAAGCAAAAACGAACCTTATATACACTCACCAAAAACAGAAATATAAACCCTGCTTCATATGGGTGTTGTCTGATTTTCTTGTTCCCAGGAAAGCACCAAGCGCCGCGCCTTTCGCGGACCTTTCGCGCCCTTTCGCGGAGACGTAAAATTATCATAGGTTTTTCGTCGATCATATAGTCGACATAACCAAGTACAAACAGCAGAGAAGCTGGGTGCGTTTTCCAGGCCCCCAAAAACGCACTTTGCCCTCTCATCCCAAGAAGGGGAATTAATGTGCTGGTTCAACGCTGGGACAAGTGGTCGACAAAACCAAATACAAGCTCCAGTGTGCGTTTTCCAGGACCCTGAAAACGCACTCTGCTCTCTCATCCCAAAAAGGGGAATCAATGTGCTGAAAGCAGCGCTTCTGGACAAACGGTCCGCCCCTAAAGGCATCCATAGTGCAGGATTCAGCCTATTTGGGGCTCATACTGATAGAATATCCTGTCCCTTAACCCTCAAGCCCCAATGCGAGTGCGTTTAGGGACCGCGCCTAAACGCACCCATTGTGCAGGTTTCAGCCTATTTGGGGTTCATACTGATAGAATATCCTGCCCCTTAACCCTCAAACCCCAATGCGAGTGCGTTTAGGGAGCGCCCCTAAACGCACCCATAGTGCAGGTTTCAGCCTATTTATGGTTCGTACTTATGGACTCTCATGCCCCTGAACACTTCAAACCCCAATGCGAGTGCGTTTAGGGACCGCCCCTAAACGCACCCATAGTGCAGTTTTAACTCACTCACTTGTGTTTGAGGTGTGCAGGGGCATGAGAGTCCATCAGTACGAACCCCAAATAGGCTGAAACCTGCACCATGGGTGCGTTTGCACGCGGTCCCTAAACGCACTCGTTTCGGGTTTGAGGGCTAGTCGGCATGATATTCTATCAGCCAGATTTAATGGAAGTTGGAAGCACGGCTGGCCAATACCTTTCCAGGACCTGTCGCCCAATCGCGTCCCTTTCGCGGACCTTTCGCGTGCCTTTCGCCATTTTCAGCGTGCGCTTCCTCTCAGAAACAGCGTGAAATCAGGGAGCACTTTCGCGGTCAGTCGCGGAGATCTTGCTCTCCAGCACGTGCCATCAACCATCCAAGCCTGCGTTTTTGCACTCGACAGGGATCAGTGTGCATTTTTGAAGCCTTCCAAAACGCACTTTGCCCCTGATCCCCGAATGCTTTCAAGCATCAGGCATAAAACCCCCCAAGCCCCATATGGGTGCGTTTGAAACGCATTCGTCGGGGAGCAAAACAAAGTATGTGTGAAGCACAAATAGGCTGAGACCTGCACTATGGGTGCGTTTAGGGGCAGTCCCTAAACGCACTCGCATTCGGGCTTGAAGGTTAAGGTGCAGGATATTCTATCAGTATGAACCCCAAATAGGCTGAAACCTGCACTTATGGGTGCGTTTAAGCGCGGTCCCTAAACGCACTCGCATTGGGGCTTGAGGGTTAAGGGGCAGGATACTCTCTCAGTATGAACCCCAAATAGGCTGAAACCTGCACAATGGGTGCGTTTAGAGGCGGTCCCTAAACGCACTCGCATTGGGGTTTGAGGCTTAAGGGACAGGATAATTATTCTATCAGTATGAACCCCAAATAGGCTGAAACCTGCACAATGGGTGCGTTTAGGCGCGGTCCCTAAACGCACTCGCATTGGGGCTTGAGGGTTAAGGGGCAGAATGTTCTACCAAATAGGCTGAAGCCTGCACTATGGGTGCGTTTAGAGGCGGTCCCTAAACGCACTCGCACTGGGGTTTGCGGCTTAAGAGACAGGATATTCTATAAGTATGAACCCCAAATAGGCTGAAACCTGCACTATGGGTGTGTTTAGAGGCGGTCCCTAAACGCACTCGCATTGGGGTTTGCGGCTTAAGAGACAGGATATTCTATCAGTATGAACCCCAAATAGGCTGAAACCTGCACAATGGGTGCGTTTAGGCGCGGTCCCTAAACGCACTCGCACTGGGGCTTGAGGGTTAAGGGGCAGGATATTCTATCAATATGAGCCCCAGATAGGCTGAAACCTGCACGACTATGGGTGCGTCTAGGCGCGGTCCCTAAACGCACTCGCATTCGGGCAGGATGTTCTATCAGTATGAACCACAAATAAGCTGAAACCTGCACCACGGGTGCGTTTAGGGGCGCTCCCTAAACGCACTCGCTTGGGGTTTAAGGGTTAAGGGGCATGATATTCTATCAACCCTGCAGATTATCCCTTTCGCGGCGCCTTCCGCCGCGCTTTCGCGGGCCTTTCGCGGATACTAAAAAACAAGCAGAAATCTATATAAAATATTCGCCAGTAAAAAAAGACAGGGGTTTGCGGATAACCCCCATATGCTCTTGATTGTCGGAGCAATTCGAGTTTTTCAGGGGACCTGGATTCGTTGGTCGTTTTTGTTGAAGAAAAGTACTTTTAGATGAGCCTAACATTTCATAAGAAAGATCTGGAGCACAAATCGTTTACGCGAGAGTTCATTCCAAAGCACTTTCTAAGATGCTTCTCGGCCAAGAAAAGATGCAGAAGTTATTTGTCGCAATCACAAAAGCTATGACATTCTGGAACTATTCTGATTCCATTCGCAAGTTGCTGCGCGCAATTCCAAAAACTCAAGAATCTCGCAGGGCTGCCCAAATTCCGGGTATTTTATGTCTGCGACGCGGCCGCGGAATCGCTCCAAAAATGCAGATCTTCTATGTGATCGCAGGGGAGGTTAGTCGGCACATTAATCGTGTGTAAGCCCCTTGAACTTTTGCACCCCGTATCCCTGCAGTTTGGCACCGGACCTTCTTAACCCTAGACCCTAAACCCTGAGCCCTATAAACCCTACTGTAGACCCTTTGCCTATGACGTGCGGGAGCTCTTTTCTTCTGCACGTGTTGTTCAAAGTCCCACGTTGAGCGACAGACCTTGGAGAATAGGGTTTAGGGTTTAGGGTTTAGGGTTTAGGGTTTAGGGTTTAGGGTTTAGGGTTTACGGTCCAGGGTGCGGAGGGAACGGCTACGCAGGTTTCCTGACTTAGAATTGTTGTGGGGTCACCCTACTAGCACATTTTACATTTGTGGTGCCCAGAGAACGGCCCGAAGACCCCCAAACCCTAAACTCCGTAATCTTGGCCCAACTTTCTTGTGGGAGCTCCGGACAATTTCCCTAAACCCTAGTTCTGGGATATTGGGATTTAGGATTCACTCAACCCTGGGCTAAAGCCTGAAACCCTAAACTCTACTTGGCGGTTCATGGGTACATACTTCGAAGCTACTCAGAGGACGCAGGGGCTTATAAATACCCTGAACCCTCAACCCTCAACCCTCAACCCTCAACCCTCAACCCTAAACCCTAACCCCCCCCCCCCCCCCCCCGCCCCGCTCGCCCCATGCAACTAGGCTGATGGCCCAGATTCTGCGGAGTAAGGCTCTCCACAAAGCCAGCCTCCGCGTTGGTTGGATCCTGGCCGGGGTTTTTTAGGGTGTCGGGTTTAGGGCAGTTTAGGGGAGGCTTGGGGGGTTTGAGGGGCTTAGCCCTAAACCGTTCACCCTAAACCCTAAACCCTAAACCCTAAACCCTAAACCCTAAACCCTAAACCCTACACACTAAAGCCAGGCTTTCTGGGCTTGGTAGGGCTGAGGTTTCCCTGCAGACTGCGCGGCCAACGCTTCAACCTTGAGTCTCTGTAACTTCAGAGCCCCCCGCTTCCAGGGTTTAGGGTTCAAGGGGTTTGGGGATTAGGGAGTGGGGTTAAGGGGTTTGGGGTTTAGGGTTTAGGGTTTAGGGTACAGGTTGGGATCTTCCGCCTTATACTAACATTCCGGAGTAGGGATTATAGTACCCCGATTGCAATCCCTAGTAAGGACTGTTAGTATAAAGGGGGGAACATGCAAAGGTTGAGGGTTTAAGGGGGTTCGGGATTAGGGTTGAGGGTTCAGCGGGTTTAGGGTTTAAGGTTTAGGGTTTGTTAAGGGTTGAGTGTGTGAACCGAAGATAGGCCCTAAACTTTTTGTTCTTCACTGGCCATGCCAAATGGAACTACCCGTGGTTTAGGCTTGAGGCTGTTTAGGGCTTCAGGGCTCGGGGTTTATGGTTTGAGGGTTTGAGGGTTTGAGGGTTTGAGGGTTTGAGGGTTTGAGGGTTTGAGGGTTTGAGGGTTTGAGGGTTTGAGGGTTTGAGGGTTTGAGGGTTTGAGGGTTTGAGGGTTTGAGGGTTTGAGGGTTTAGGGCGTTTCTGGTTTTAAAATTTACAGGCTCATGGGATTTAGGATGTTCAATTCTTCTAGGAACTTTGTAGCACCGCTCTGTCACAGCACAATATCCCTTAACAAAGGAATACACCTGAAATCAGACAGGGGTCCTTTATATGATTGAGGTGTATTCCTTAAATTCGATCGGGGTCCTGTATATGATCCAGGTATATGACTAAGGCATATACCCTCAACTGGATAGGGATAGGGGGGTCCATTTACATGACTTAAGGCATACTTCCTTATTTCAGGGTCCCTCGAAACCCTAAGCCCCAAACCCTAAACCCCAAACCCCAAACCCTAAACCCTAAACCCCAAACCCCTACCTAAGAGGGCGCCTTGTTCGGCGCCAGGTTCAGCTCGATGTTCGTTCGGCCATCCTGATATCCTGGCTGGGAACTTCACGGAGAGCCCACCCTAAACCCTCAACCCTAAACCCTAAACCCTAAAGGCTAAACCCTAAACCCTAAATCCAAAACGCAAAGCTCCAAAGCGAGATTTTGAGGGAGGGTTCAAAAAGATTTGCACTTTTTGGGCGGCGCCTGTACGTCAAGCCCTCAACCCTCAGCCCTCAGCCCTCAACCCTAAACCCCTACATCTATTCCTTTTGAACATGGTTCACGGAGGCGGGGGGGGGGGGGGGGGGGGTGCTAGGGTTGAAAAGAGGAAAGGATTTAGGGTTTAGTTGGCGGCGCTCTTGGAAAACAAACTATCCATTCAGGTTTCCCCGAGGTTGGGGAGAAGGGCTTAGGGTTTAGGCACATTCCCCCGACTAGGAAACCCAAAGCTTTTCAAGTTGGTTTGGGGACCAAACTTGTTGGGCAAAACCTGCAAGGAAACCCTGCAAGGAGGGGCCCCACTACCAGACCAACTGCCTAAGTCGGATACTTCTAACCCAGTTTGGGGCCCTGACAACCCTACTTCTGACTAGGTAGACCTAAGTGTAGCCTAGGAATCCTAAACCCTAAACCCTAAACCCTAAACCCTAAACCCTAAACCCTAAACAGGGTAACCTAACAAATCCCAGAAGAAAGAGAAAGGGCCTACTCTGGGTCCTAGAGTCGGCCCTCCTTGTAAGCCCAGTTTAGGGTTTAGGGTTTAGGATTTTAGGGTTTCGGGTTTAGGGCTCAGGCGTCTTAGTCCCAAGTCCCCCCCCCCTGATCTTCTCCGGGAGCCCAGGCGGCCAGAGATCAGAATTGGCGTCCCTGGCAGGCGGTAGGACCTTGGTAGGGTTCAGGCTTTTTTTGGCTTAGGGTTTAGGGTGTAGGGTGCAGGGTGTAGGGGGCCCATAAACCCTAAACCTTAAGCCCTAAACCCCTAAACCCCTAAACCCCTAAACCCCTAAACCCCTAAACCCCTAAACCCCTAAACCCCTAAACCCCTAAACCCTAAACCCTGCACCCTAAACCCTAAACCCTAAACCCTAAACCCTAAACCCTAAACCCTAAACCCGAAACCCAAGAATCACCGGACGCTCCCCGGGGCTGCGGCGTCCAAAACATCCATGGGCCGCCTGTAGATGACTGGCGCCTGAAAGGCTGTTAGAAAATAGGGTGTATGTAGAGTGTTTAGGTTTAGGGTTTCGGGTTTAGGGTTTGGGGTTCAGGGTTTAGGGTTTCGGGTTTAGGGTTTCGGGTTTAGGGATTCTATAGAGTTTAGGGTTTGAAGACTTCGGGTTGTGGGGGTCAGGGGCAGGGGTCATGGGTGGCAACACCAGTATATGCTGCTTGATCCTCTGTTCTGCGATTTTATATGTCATTTTGGTATGTTTGTATATGTATGTCCACATATGCATATATATATATATATATATATATACATACATACATACACTTGGTAGCCCAGTAACCATACTACAATGAGGATACCCTTCTTGGGGTTGGTTGGTTACTTGATAAGGGAAAGCTTGAACCCCCCCCAAAAAAAACAAAACACAAAAAAAGGTGAACAATAGGGTACCACCGGGCTACCAAGTATGTTGTTTACCCCTAAGCCCTAAACCCTACACCTTGAACCCTGAACCCTGAACCCTGAACCCTAAACCCTACTTACTTGTTGTTTGTCGTGTCGTTTTTCTGCTCTGGCTCACAATGTAGCTGAGGCATCCACAACTTGCCGGCCAAGTAGTCCATCCTCGGGCTGGTGGACAGGGCCATACAAGTAGTTAGGGTTTAGGGTTTAGGGTTTAGGGTTGAGGGTTGAGGGTTGAGGGTTGAGGGTTGAGGGTTGAGGGTTGAGGGTTTAAGGTTTAGGGTTGAGGGTTTACCCTGAAGTGAGGGTACGGGGATGTGTGCAAAACGGCAGGAGAGCCCCAGCGGCATCTGAAGCTCGCGCGTGGGGCCGTTCGGGTTTAGGGCTTAGGGCTTAGGGTTTAGGGTTTAGGGGGTCCATTTCAGTACGAATATATCCGGGTGCCAAACTTACTTCTCCAATGACCTAGGGGGAAAAAAGGGTTAAACTTTCCTTTTCCTACTAAATCAGGAAACCCAAACAGTTAAAGTTCAACTATTGGCTAAGTAAGTAAAGCGGGCCCATGATTGAAAATCAGCCCCAGCATGCTGCCAGTTCGTCGCAGGCTGAGCCTCTGGCTGAGTCTGGATCTTGCCGATGATGTCTGCGGTGGCTCGCTGAGTCTGGGCCTCAGGTATGTTTGGCATAGAGGAGGCGTTACCCAAATAAACCTTGAAACGGAGAAACATGCCGCACCTAGGTATTGGGTACGTAGAGCTACTTCTTTTAAGACTATGTAGTGATACGAAGGCTACTCTAGGTAGGGTCCCTAAACCCTAAACCCTAAACCCTAAACCTTAAACCCTAAATCCGAAACCCTAAACCCCCACGGTTTAGGGTATAGGGTTTAGTTTTTAGTTGCTGGTTCCATTGCTTCTAGACTCGGTCGAAGGTAGCCCAAGGATTTGCGTAACAGCAGCTGTCCTGGGGTTTAGGGGTTTGGGGTTTAGGGTTTAGGGTTTAGGGTGTAGGGTTTAGGGTTTAGGGTTTGGGGTTTACGGTTTAGGGTCTTGCTTATTGGTTCTTAGAAGGAAACTAGCCTCTATTCCCGACCGCGAACCTCAAGGCATTTGCAGAGATAGTGCACGCAACCTCCTTAGCCCTAAACCCGCTCGAGGCCTAAACCCTAAGCCCCAAACCCTAAACCCTGCACCCTAAAGTCTAAACCCTAAACCCTACACCCTAAACCCCAAACCCTAACCCCCGCGACCCGAAGCCGTGATCTCGAAAGCCTTGGTGGCGTAAGATGGCGGCAGTTCTCTGACGCTCCTCGGTCAGCGACATCTCTTGCCTGCGCCAGGCCACCCACCCTCCCGGTTTAGGGTTTAGGTTTAGGGTTTAGGGAGGTTTGGGGGCTCAGGGTTTTTGTTTTGTTAACCCTAAACCCTGAACCCTGAACCCTAAACCCTAAACCCTGAACCCTGAACCCTAAACCCTAAACCCTAAACCCTAAACCCTAAACCCTAAACCCAGGGCTCTGGGCCCTAGAATGGCAAAACTCTTTGACTGATGACACCTGGCATCACCGAAGGACCACCGCTGAGCCAGGGCCTGCTTTCTTAGTTGCTGAGTTCATAAGCCCCCAAAGAAGTTTAGGGTTTAGGGCTTAGGGCTTAGGGTTTAGGGTTTAGGGTTTAGTACACACTTTCAGTTCTATAGAGGACTATCGTATCCCAAGAAACGAAAAGTGTACTCATTCAGCTACTACGTGATATGTTGGGGTCTAACTCCTAAACCCGAGGCCCTAAACCCTACATCCTAAGCCAAAAACCCTAAAAAAATCCTGCAGTGAAGCCTCCAGCTCCCTTAATGCTTACGAGTTCTTGGCAGGGACCCTTGAAGGCATTAAAGGAGGTATGTAGGCAACCTTGGGAGGTCCTAAACTCCAGGCCTAGGCCGCCCCTCTACGTTGGGGGGCGGCGCCGAAGCTCCTCGACCTGGTCGTTCGCCCGCCTCCCACAGCTCGTACCGGAGCACGTTCTCCTCGGCCTGGCCCGCGGGCTCCAGGCCAAGGGCACCCCGGACCCCTCACCGCAGCGTGGTCAGGGACCAGGGGCCTCTGGCGGGCGGGCCATCAAAAAGTGCAAGTTCGGTTTCTCAACACGAACCCCCCCTTGCCTCGCCCTGGCCCTTGCTGTTGATACTGCTGGCCCGCTCGGCGAGCCCTGCTGGTCTTCCTGGCCTTCCTGACTTTTCCGGCCTCGCCTGGGCCCCTCCCCCTCCTCTGGCCCCCCTGACCCTGCCTCAAACCCTCTAGAAACCTCTCCATTTCTATATCAGCTCGTGCTACCAACGAGCGGGACCTGGCCTCAAACCTTTCTTTTTGCTGAAAGTGGCCATCGGTGACAGAAAGGTTTTGAAAGTAAGCGATTGTCATGAGTTTAGGCCTAAACCCTAAAATGAATACGTTTGGGTGGTTTTGCCGCCTCGGACGGCGTGGGGTGGGAGAAAGTATTCGATGGCCCTCCACAATCGGGCCAGAGCTGCTCATCGCACCTGACCAGGCATTCGAGCCTCTGCTGCATCCTAACGCCCTATTGCAGCAAACCCTAAACCCTAAACACTAAACCCTTTTTCTAACAGTCCTGAATAGGGATTACAGTACGAGTACCTCTCATTCTAATCCCTGTTCAGGAATGCTAGATAGTACCTCCTATAAAATTTATGCTACGTAAGGACTGTTAGTCTGAAGGGGGAAACCCTAAACCCTAAACCCTAAACAGCAAACAGTAACCCCTAAACTACCCTAAACCCTAAACCCTAAACACTAAACCCTAAACCCTAACCCCTAACCCTAAACCCTAAACCCTAGCCCTAAACCCTAAAACCCATCCCAAAGGGAACCTTGTTCCCGAATTCCCTACAAAGAGCCAGAAAGTAGAGCCCAAGATCGACCTTAAACGCCAATCAGTCGTGGAGCCTGTAGCCTCATGGCCCGAAACCCCCCTAAACCCTAAACCCTAAACCCCAAACCCTAAACCCTAAACCCTAAACCCTAAACCCCAAACCCTAAACCCTAAACCCTAAACCCTAACCCTAAACCCTAAACCCTAAACCCTAAATACGCTCGAACCGAAGGAGCACCTCATCTCTTGCGCCAGCTCTGTCACAAACGCCTTCTGAGCTGACCTGCTGAAGTTAAACCCTAAACCCTAAACCCTAAACCCCAAACCCTAAACTCCAAACCCTAAACCCTAAACCCTAAACCCTAAACCCTAAACCCTAAACCCTAAACCCTAAACCCAATCGTGGTTTCGGGCTTGAGGAGTGCAGGGAGTGTAGGAGTGTAGGGATCATAGGGAGTGCAGGGAGTGAAGGGTGCAGGTTTAGAGAGCCCAATATCCTGTAGTTAAGGAATAGGCCTTAGTACGATTTACTTTGGTATATTCCTTATTTAAGGCATATTGGGCTCTTTGGGCACCTGTTTTAGGGCTTCTGGGGTCGAGAACACATGTGCCCAAGGCCCCCACTTGGGTTTGGGGTTTAGGGTTGAGGTTCTCTAGGAAGGCCGTTGAAGGGAAAATACCCGAGATATACTAGACCCAGGGGCACCTAGGAATAAAAAGGTGCCCTTTTGGTCTAAAGGGGCGTATAAGGGAACCTAAGCCCTAAGAAAGGGAACAAGGGCCTAATCTGAGTCCTCGGATATAAGTTCCCGACATGTACTGCTTGGGCCCCCGTGCGTGAAGCTCCAGGTGCTGTTCGGCCGCATTAAGTCCTGCTAGCACCCAAACCATAAATCCACAAACGCCCTCAACCCTAAACGGGTAAACCCTAAAACTCCCAAAGCCCTACGCCAAAAAAAAACCCAAGCCCTCCACTCTCCGCAGCGGACCAGGAAGAGGTCGGGTTTAGGGTTTAGGGTTTAGGGTTTAGGGTTTAGGGTTTAGGGTTTAGGGTTTAGGGTTTAGGGTTTAGGGTTTAGGGTGTATTCCTTAATGAAGGGGGGGATGGGGCTGCTGGGGGGGTTCGGGGCACCCGCCTTTGGGGAAAAGCCCCGCAGGTGGAACCCTCAGACCGAACCCTCAACAGGGGTTTAGGGTTTAGGGTTTAGGGTTTAGGGTTTAGGGTTTAGGGTTTAGGGTTTAGGGTTTAGGGTTTAGGGTTTAGGGTTTAGGGCTTCCCCTTCAATAAGGACTTTACCTTATCTTATATTTTGGGATCCATCATATGATCTAAGGTATATATCAGTACATTCCTTACTTAAGGGGTATTGGGCTCTTTGGGCCAACGGGTCCTAGGCCCCTCTTAAGATCCCGGGCTGAAAGTTGGGGAACGGGGTTGGCCCGTACGTTTCCTCGCCAAAACAAGGCCCTCTTCGCGCCCCGAAGAAAGGGGGCATGTAGGGCCCTAAACCCTAAACCCTAAACCCTAAACCCTAAACCCTAAACCCTAAACCCTAAACCCTAAACCCTAAACCCTAAACCCTAAACCCTAAACCCTAAACCCTAAACCCTAAACCCTAAACCCTAACCTTAAACCCTAAACCCTAAACCCTAAACCCTAAACCCTAAACCCTAAACCCTAAACCCTAAACCCTAAACCCTAAACCCTAAACCCTAAACCCTTAACCGCAGTTGTAGGGTTCTGAACCCTAAGCCTTGGAATTCTGGTTTTTCAAAGTCATGATGCCGGAGTTGGTTTTAGGGGCCCATTCTCCAAAGCCCCACACGCAAAGTCGCAAATCCCTAACCCTAAACCCAAAACCACAAACCTAAACCCTAAACCCTGAACCCCACAGGGACACCTCGGCGGCTACGCCGAAGGACTTCTCCGCCTGCACGAGGGCCTTGGCAGGGCTACCACTGTGGAGGTACCTGGCGGGCAATTAGGTTCAGGGTTTAGGGTTTAGGGTTTAGGGTTTAGGGCTAGGGGTTTGGGTTTGGGATTTAGGGGGGTTTGGGTTGGGGGATGTAGGTTTCGGAATTTAGGGCCAGTTTAGGGCTGAGTTTTTGGAAAGGGCGGTGCAAGGGTTCACGGTTCACCTTGGGGGTGTCAGAAAGTTTGAACCTACCCTAAACCCCAAACCCCAAACCCCAAACCCTAAACCCTAAACCCTAAACCCCAAGCCCTAAACCCAAAACCCTAAAACCCTAAAACCCTACAACCCTACAACCCTAAAACCCCAAAACCCCAAAACCCCAAAACCCCAAAACCCCAAAACCCCAAAACCCTAAAACCCTAAAACCCTAAAACCCTAAAACCCTAAAACCCTAAAACCCTAAAACCCTAAAACCCTAAAACCCTAAAACCCTAAACCCTAAACCCTAAACCCTAAACCCTAGCCCTCCTAGTCGGTATTAGGGTTTGGGGTTTAGGGTTTAGGGTTTAGGGTTTGGGGTTTAGGGTTTAGGGTTTAGGGTTTAGGGTTTGGGGTTTAGGGTTTAGGGATTAGGGTTGCAGTTTAGTCATGTACGCAGCAGGGGCAGGGGTGGTGAAGTCAGGCTGCAAACATGCTCTCAAAGACTTCTGAGAGGCAGCTGGACTGTTCAAGCCTTTTTAAGGGATGCCAACTGGTGGGGGGGGGCGGGGGGGGGCTCCGAGAATGAGAGTTGCCTTCTTGAGGGATCCGGGATTGCGTGTCAATGGGTGTTCCTTCTTTTCGATATCGAAACTGAGGGCCCTAAACCCTAAACCCTAAACCCTAAACGCTAAACCCTAAACCCTAAACCCTAAACCCTAAACCCTACACCCTAAACCCCCTAAAAATGAACCCTAAGCTGAGAAGACCGCAGCTTGAGGTCGAAAAACGCTATGATAAGCCCCAAAACCCACCCAGGGTAGCCTCTTCCCCAGCCTCTCCTCGACCTGGCAGAGCCAGGGTTTAGGGTTTAGGGTTTAGGGTTTAGGGTTTAGGGTTTAGGGTCTACGGTCTAGGGTTTAGGGTTTAGGGCTTAGTTTCTAGGGCTGCAAAGGGCTTGTGAACCATTGCTGCCTGCACTGGCTCCTTCAACTGCGAAGCTTACCCATGGGGTTGGGGTCCAGGTTTCAGGGTTCAGGGCTCTAGGGTTTAGGGTTGCGATGCTTGCCCCTTACACTAACAGTCTTTGCTAGGGATTATAGTACCCCCTCTTAGAATCCCTAGATTAAGGACTGTTAGTAGAAGGGGGGAACATCCCAAGTTTGGGGTTGCCTTGTGCTGCGATTTGGCACTCTTACAGGAGAATCTTTCAGGGGGGATCCAAAGTTCACCAGTGTCTCCCAAAACCCAAAACCCTAAACCCTACACCCTAAACCCTAAACCCTAAACCCTAGACCCTAAACCCTAAACCCTAAACCCGGAGAAAGCACGCAACTCGGAAGTAGCCTGAGGTCCGAATGTGGAGCCGGAGCCTTCTGAGTCTCTGCGACTCTGTGGTCGGGGTTTAGGGTTCAGACTTTGGAGTTTAGGGTTCTGGGTCTAGGGTTTGGGGTTTAGGGTTTCGGGTTTAGGGCCCATATCAGCGAGCTTAGGCCAGGCAGAAGCCCTATAAAACGTACATCGCAGTCCTCTACAACTAGCCCAAAAAGGAACTACATTAGAGCCTTCAGGTAAGCTCTGAACCGTACTGACTTCGCGCCAGGTTGCCAGCAGCAGCTGTCGGAGGAAGAGTGCTTCCAGGGCACCTGCGTGCGGGTTTGGTGGCACAAGAAGAGCCCCTGTGTCGCTTAAGCACTGCCTAGCCCCCCAAGCATGACACAAAGTGGCTCTTTCTCGGTCTTTGCGGGTCTTTGCGCGGGTCTTCTACGCACTTCTGCTCACGGGCGCCAACAAGGGAATGCACCGGAAGAAGGAGCACGTCTCGGTATGCTTGAGTGCTTGATTCCTTAAGAATGGAAAAAGAGGTTGTGATACACGTTTCGAGATATGAAAGAAACTCAAAACAAGTCTGTCGGCATCCTATCGGCCCAATATCACTTTCAGACGGGACATTGGACCATGCCGCCCTCACCGGTCGCAAGTGCAATCTCGGTGACCCTTCGGCACGCGGAGCGGTCGCCCACCAATCCCTGCTCTAAAAATTCCGGCAAGGACCGCTTCTTCGCAAAGTCGGCGGCCCTGAAGCCGCGACAGTTCCTGATTTCCAGCTTGGCTCCTCCTGCAATCAGAGCAGCCGCTCCTTCGTACTGCGACGAGAAAACGGCTGCCATGAGCGGCGTCATGCCGCTGTAGTGGTAGAACTGTTCTGTCTGTGCCGTGACTCTTCCCAGTCTGTGCTGGAGAGACATCACCGCGAGAACCGCGCCAAACGGAGAGGCTGCAGGGGCACTAAACTGGAAGTTGATGTCAGCGCGAAGGCCAACGAGACGTTGCACGGCCTCAGGGGTGCCTCCGCGATACAGCATGGCAGTGAGCAAAGCACAGGACAGCACCGATGCTTCAAAGTCCATCTGGGTGAGGAGCTCCTCACGAGCCGCCGCACCTGCAAGAATGAAGGCAGAATCCAAAGCAGTAAAGCCAAATAAGTTACGGCCAATCGGGTCCGCGCCGGCAGCGCACAGCATGCGAATCCCCTGGGCATTGTCCGCGAGGGCCGCGATCTGCATAGCAGGGTAGAGGAAACCCGTGAGCTGAGCACGGGCCTCAATCAGCACGCGGACCGCATCGTTATGCCTGTAGGTCAGGGCCAGTTCAAGCGCGGATGTCAAAGGCGGAATACCAAGCTTCGGCTCACCCTTGGTCGTTCGCCGGTCGAGGGCGGCTTTCTGTTGCAGGAGGCCCACCACAAGATCTGCGTTGCCACCCAGCGCAGCGTAGTGTAGCGGCGCCCAGCCCGCAGAGTCGCGCTCGCGCACGGAGTGAAAGCCGTTTTGGTGCAGGAACCTCGCAACCACCACTTCTCTCTGGCAAGCTGGGCTACAGTCCGAATCAAAGCCAGGAATGAAGTCCTGCAATGGCTCCACTGTCAACCCCTTAAAGTAGACAGACTGGAGGTTGAGGTGTCGGCGGTAGGCAGGGAAGTCACGTGCTTTCAAGCACGACCGCAGCTTGTGCAAGACCACACCTTTGATTACCGGTCCGAGCGTCTCGGCATCTGAAGGGACCGTGAAATCCCCTTCCCCTACCTGTCCGATAGGAAAGGATGCTGCTGTGCCGACCACTTCCAGTGAAGTGCTGCTCTTGATCAAGATCCAGGTGTGGTCCGCAGAGATTTCCCGCACAACTCTCTCAAGCCTGCCATAGCTGCCAAGGGAGTTCCATGGGAGTTCTACCCTAAATAAACCCTAAACCCTAAAACCTAAACCCTAAACCCTAAACCCTAAAACCGAAACCCTAAACCCTAAACCCTGAGGTTTCATGGAGTTTCTCGAAGCTTCGACTTTTTTGGAGAGTTAGGGGCCCTTGTGGAAAGGCCAGGAGAGCTTCGGGTCGAGGGCTTCGCGGGAAGACGGGTTTAGGGTTTAGGGTTTAGGGTTTAGGGTTCAGGGTTTAGGGGAAGACTGGTCTTAAAGGGCCCAGATGGGTTCAGATGGGACTTCCTCAATCGAATGGCACGCCCTCACGAGAATGTCGCTTGCAACCCGTTCTTCTCATTGCCAGGGAGAAGGCATCGACGCCCGAGGCCTCGGGACTCTTGAAGCCCATTCTTCATTCCTCTCATCACCTGACCTGGACAGGCATCGTCCTTGAAAGTTCCCCGTGAACACGCAAAGCCAAAGGTACCTAAAGAGCCCATACCCCTTAATTAAGGAATATTCCTTAAATCATATTCAGGATCCACTTATAATTTAGGGTATTTGCCTCAACTAAGGAGTATTGGGCTCTTTAGGTACCATAGCCAGGCGCCCAAGGAGCCCACGGAGCGAATGCAGTAGTTTTTCATACCGCAAACCCCACAGTACCTGAGCACGTTTGTGAGCCTTGGCTTTAAGAGGTTTAGGAGTTTAGGGGGTCTTGCATGGCCTAGATCTGTATTGAAACTCCCTTAATCCGGAACAGCCCCAGATTTCAATCCCCTATAAAGCCCATAAACCCTCGAAAGATCTGAAATGGCTGCATGCCTGATCCCGAAACGTCCCCTCTTCGATCGGACAACTTCTTAACAAGGGGGCACCAAGCCTGCACCAGCCCCTGTGTGACCAGCTGATCGGCGACAGCGCCTTGTCTTCGATGAAGGGGACGAGGGCGAAGAAGAAGGTGCACGCGGCGACATAAGCTGGGATGCTCTGAATGGCCTTGGCCTGGCTGGTTGGGTTGCAGGCCTGCGGAACTGAGAAGTAGTCGTACCAGAGAAACAGCGGCTCGGACTGGAATGCTGTCCTGGGTGTTGCTTTAAAGCCCTCTGAAAATTATTTATGAATAGGTTCCCTTAAAAGGGAATAAGAAGGGAAATTTAAAATTATCTCGAAGTACCCAGTGTCAGGGCTATGGCCTTGGCGGATGTGAGGAAGGTCTCTGTGATACAATCAAGGGGAACCATCCCCTTGTCCTGCAGCAGATGCCTTGGTACTCCAGTAACCATCTTAAAAAATAAGGGCGCCCTATGTTGGTTGGTTAACTTACAAGGGAACCTTGAAAAACAAAAAAAGAAAAGGGCACCACTGGGCTCCCTAAACCTAAACCCTAAACCCGGCTACCAAGATGCCGGAGAGCACCCTGGAAGACCCTCATCTGCTTCAAGTCTGGATCCGGATGGTGCATGGCAGCCCACTGGTGTGACACGAGGCCTGCTTTGCCCCTTGTACCGTCAAAGGCAGTCAGCAGGTTCATAGCCTTGGTAGCCCAGTAACCACATTACAACAAGGGCACCCCTTTTTTGGGGTTGGTTACTTTCTAAGGGAACCGAGAACCCAAAAAAACAAAGTAAAGGGCACCACTGGGCTCCCCAGTAGCCAGGAGCTCCTCATGAGGCTTGATCTCGGTCATCTGCAGCAGCACATCGGCGGGAATCGTGTACATCGGAAAGAGCATCGGAGCAGCCCCATCCTTGGTACCCCAGCAACCATATTACAATAAGGGCACCCGTTTATGGTTGGTTAAAATCTACAAGGGAACCTTGCATCACAAAAAAGGGAAAAGGGGTACCACAGGGCTACCTAAACCTAAACCCTGAACTTTAGAAAGGGACCCTTGAATCCAAAAACAAGGGAAAGGGGCACCTCTGGGCTACCTAAACCTAACCCTTGAATCAAAAAACAAGGAAAAAGGGTACCACTGGGCTACCTAAACCTAAACCCCAAACTTCAGAAGGGACCCTTGAATCAAAAAAAGGGAAAAGGGCACGTACCACTGGGCTACCTAAACCGAAGGGACCCTTGAATCAAAAAAAGGGAAAAGGGTACCACAGGGCTACCTTAAACTTTAGAAAGGGAACCTTGAATCAAAAAAAGGAAAAGGTACCACTGGGCTACCTAAACCTAACCCTTGAATCAAAAAAAGGAAAAGGGTACCACTGGGCTACCTAAACCTAACCCTTGAATCAAAAAAACAGGGGAAAAGGGGTACCACTGGGCTACCTAAACCTAAACCCTAAACTTTAAAAAGGTTGAATCAAAAAAAGGAAAAAAGGGGTACCACTGGGCTATCAAGCATCATTCCTGTCGTCCTCCAGGATGGAAGCATGCCTCGCCAGCGCAGTCCGAGCTGTTCGGCAGCACATTGCGCTTCCGACATGTAGCCAAGGCCCCAAGAAGAAAAAAACAAAACAAAAACAGGTGAGGTTCTGTCCCTAAACCCTAAACCCTAAACCCTAAAGCATGGCGATGTGCATAATTACGCTGCAGGAGATCTCGTCATGATTGCTGCCTGCGGCCTCTGTGCCCAAACCGGGCTTGAGCAAAATGTAGAACTTTTGACATATCACCTCAGTGATTGTCAAGCATCAATCATAAGTTGTTCGCATTGTGTGGGGGTCCAGGTGAATATATAGATTATATATGTATGGACACACCCCCCCCCCATGACCCACCCAGATCTGTTTCCCTCGTAAAGACCGTTTAAAGCCCGCTCGTGCCCTATGGCGTTTTCTGCTACTCTCAGTGGCTGTCTCTCGACCAAACAGACCCCACACGGACCACAGGACTGGACGCCGACACGGGCGAGACCAAAAAACCAAAAAACCATCTTTTTCAGAGAATGGGGAGGGGATGTTGAAAAAGATGTTTTTTTTGGTTTTGCTTTTTCAGTGCAAAACCATCTTTTACGAGGCAAAAACCAAAAAAAAACACATCTTTTTCAAAATCCCCTCCCCATTCTCCAAAAAAGATAGTTTTTTTTGTTTTTTTGGTTTTGCCTCGTACAGGATGGTTTTTCATAGAAAAACCAACTTTTCCCTCGTAAAAGGATGGTTTTCCTGAGGCAGACCAAGCCAAAACCATCTTTTTGCGAGGGAAAAGTTGGTTTTTCAGTGCAACATCTTTTACGAGGCAAAACAAAAAAAGCATCTTTTTCAAAACCACCCCCATTCTCTAAAAAAGATGGTGCCTCGTACCTCTCTCGGGCCAGAACCGTTCAGCTCCACATGTAGCTGTCCAGTGGACGGTTTTCTTTCGAAGCAGGACGTGTCAGCATGCTTGGAGGCTCTTTCTTTCAGCGGGAGAAGGTTGGTTTTGGTCAGTGTTATATTAATGTCAGCAATAGCATTCCTATTCCTATTAATGTTAAAGGGTCCCCAACCATCTTTATCGGACTTCTTTTCATTTTACTTATATTCTTATGAACTTTCAGAGGGTTCTTATTCAACGTCATAGGATTCCTAATACTTTTCAATAGGGTTCTTATGCATTTCAACAAGGTTCTTAATCATTTTAAAGTGGTTCTTTTAATGCCAATAGGGTTCCTCTGAAATTAAAAAGGGCCCATACTTCTTTTTCAAGATTCATATTGGTGCCTATCCATTGTAGTGAGTCTCCGAGAAATTTTAATGGTATTCTTAGAAATTTGAAGCATTCCTCGTCCTATTAATTCTAATAGGAATCACGTTAAGTAACGGGAAGCCTAGATATTTTGAAAGGAACCACATTGAATTTTGTAGGATTCCTATTGGTTCCTATTTATTTTAGTAGGATTCCTCTTCATTTTAAAAGGATTCCTATCAATTTGTAATAGGGTTCTTATGAATTTTACTGGGGTTCCTCATAAATTCCGATTAACATCAACGGGTTCCTAACCATCTTAATAGGACTCCTCTACCACTTCACAATATTCTTATGAGTTTTCATAGGGTTCTTAATCAATGTAGCAGGATTCCTAATGCTGTTTAAATAGGGTTCTTATGAATTTCGGCAAGGTTCTCAATCATTTTAAAGTGGTTTCTTTTAGTTTCAGTAATAGGGGTCCCTCTGAAAATGAAAAGGACTCATACTTCTGTTTTAGGATTCCTATTGGTTCCTGCTAATTTTAGTAGGATTTCTCTTCGTTTTATAAGGATTCCTATTAATTTGCAATAGGGTTCTTATGCTTCGTAGAAAGATGGTTTTGGAGCCAAAATTACATTAATTCTAACAGGAAGCAGAGAAATCCGAACCACATTTATTTTATGGGATTCTTATTGGTTCCTATTAATTTTAGTAGGATTTCTCTTCATTTTCAAAGGATTCCTATTAATTTGCAATAGGGTTCTTGTGGTTCCCAGTGGTGTTGCTTATAAATTCCTATTGATGGTGGGACCCTCTCCAATTAAAAGATTCCTCTTAATTTGTAAAAGGGTTCTTATGAATTTTAGTGGGGTTCCTCATAATTTGAATAGGATTCTAATTCATCATAACAAGATTAAGAAACATATTAAAAGGATTCCTATTTGGATTGAATAGAATTCCCACATTCCCGTGAATTCATAAAGGGTCCCTTTTCATTTTCACAGGCTTCCTACTGTTCTTCATGGGGGGCCCTATTGATTTTTCTACATTTTCATAGCATTCCCATGGCGTTTGATAGAGAGTTCCTATGACTCAAATATGATTCCAAGTCATTTTCCCTATTTATTCAATAAGATTCCTATTCGTCTCAATAAGAGTCTTATAAATTTTAATAGAATTCGTATTAATTTTCATAGGGTTTGCATCCAATTAATAGGGTTCTAATTAAATTCATACCTATGACTAAATGTGGATTTCTTACTCCGACACGGCCTCACGGTGGGTCATGGGGGGGGGGGGGGGGGGGGGGGTGTGAGCATATATATATACACATGTATATATGTATGTATGTATATATATATATAGAAACACATATTATACAAAAACAAATAAATAAATAATGTATATATATATATATATATGTATATGTATATGTATATGTATATGTATATGTATATGTATATGTATATGTATATGTATATGTAGTGTATATGCATATGTATATACACATCTATATACGTATATATGTGTATATATATATATATACATATACACATATATACATATATACATATCTACATATATGCATATATACATATCTACATATATACATATATACATATATACATATGTGCATATGTACATATGTACATATGTACATATACACATATACACATATACACATACATACATACATACATACATACATACATACATACATACATACATACATACATAAGGGCCCCCCCCCCCCGTGGGTTTAGGGTTTAGGGCTTAGGGTTTAGGGTTTAGGGTTCTTCTGGCTGCCTTGGGATCCCAGGGGCTCCTCGAAAACTCCAGAAACCAGCCAATGCCCCTTAACGGGTTTAGGGTTTAGGGTTTGGGGTTTGGGGTTTAGGTTCAGGGTTTAGGGTTTAGGGTTGGGCAGGGCTTTTTTTACACCCCGAATTGGCTCCCTTGGCACCCTGTTCAGGATTTGGGTTTTTTTCGCACCCTGTCCGGACTGCCCTGGGCTGGGTCTGGGGCTTTTTTCGCGCCCGGGCTGACTTTAGTGCTGCACATGTTTACTTCAGGGGGATTGGAGTCATTTGGGGATGAGGCCAGGCTGGGTCTCATAGCTGTGCTTAGGCTTAAGGCTTACAGGTTGAGTTTCGGTGTTATGGCCAGGTTTAGGGTCCATGGAGAGACCTCTACCGTTACGTTTCGGGCTTAGGGCGCTTTGGGGTCTTTTGTTTTGGGGGGTCTTTTTTTTATCGATTTTCTTGGTTTTCTCTAGGAAAAACCCTACTTTCCTTACATTTTGGACGGATTTTCTGTCATTTCCCTTAGGTTTTCGTTGGTTTTCCATAGGGAAAACCGTATTTCTTTTAGATCTTAAACGGATTTCCTGTCATTTCCTTTAGGTATTCCTTGGTTTTTCCTAGGGTGTCATTTCCTTGAGGTTTTCGTTGGTTTTTCCTAAGGAAACCCTATTCTGCTGACATTTTGGACGGATTTCGTCAAACGTAATAGCGTACGTTGCTTTTCCTTCTTTTTCCTAGGGAAAACCCTATTTGGTTCGTTTCTTGGTTTCTATCATTCCCTCTATATTTTCATCGGATTCATACTACTTTTCGTCAGATTTCTTATTAATGCTTCTTTTGTGATTTTTCTTGGTTTTTCGTAGGCAAAAGCTACATTCCGTCCATATTTTCATGGGATTCATACTACGTTTCGTAATATTAACTATCTTTATGGTGTGTTTTCTTGCTTTTCCTTGTAAAAAGCTGCATTCCCTCTATGTTTTCATATTATTCATACGCTCACATGATGGGTGTCAACAAGTTCTTGGGCTTTGAAGCGCGC